CTGTAAAGATGGATGTGGTGATCATTGTTCTTTAAAGATGATTTTGTGGTGATCATTGTTCTGTAAAGATGGATGTGGTGATCATTGTTCTTTAAAGATGATTTTGTGGTGATCATTGTTCTGTAAAGATGATTGTGTGGTGATCATTGTTCTGTAAAGATGGACGTGTAGAGAGCATTGTTCTGTAAAGATGATTGTGTGGTGAGCATTGTTCTGTAAAGATGGATGTGTGGTGATCATTGTACTGTAAAGATGGATGTGTAGATATCATTGTTCTGTTGTTATTACTGTGTACAGAGAAAGATAGTGCTGGTATTATTCTATGGAGAAGGGTACTGTTGTTATTACTGTACATAGAGAAGGGTACTGTTGTTATTACTGTGTACAGAGAAGGATAGTGCTGGTATTATTCTATTGAGAAGGGTACTGTTGTTATTGTATGAAGAAGGTATAACTATTATTATTATTACATGACAGATTGTCATGTTTGATATTTTATCCTGTTGATGATGTAATATCTAAAATTGATATACTCTATTAAATCATTAAATCAGTTATATATATGTGCCTTGATTAGCATCACATAAAATAAATCAAAATTATTATTTCCAGTTATTACTATTTTAAATTATTCCAAGTGTCCATTATTACCATTATGGCTTTTTTTTATTATTAATATGCACAGTTTTGTTCTAATCAGAATATTTTTACATCTCTTTAACCTCTTTCATCAGAATCAGAGTCTACATACAGATAGGACCTAAATTTGTAAAATTGATTTTACTTCGTGTTTAAGGTTTTTTTCTTAATTGTTTGAAACTGTAAACTTATATTGCAAACTAACAGCACTAAAATAAGCTAGTTATTACATAATTATAGTCCTTATTGTTTGTAATTAACATGTTTTAATACTGTTTTTGCAGAGCTCACAACCTGCTGAAGCATCCACTCATTTGTCAGAACCAACCACAGCTGAACAAACCGCTTAAACAACATTTCATGTTTTCTGTACAGTTTTTGTTAAGGGAGGTGAGCAGAAGTCTTTACGTATATAAACAAACAGTTAAATAACATTATGTTTTCTGTACAGTTCTTGTTAAGTGAGGTGGGTAGGAATCTTTACATATATAAACAAAGATTAAAATAACATTATGTTTTCTGTACAATTCTTGTTAAGTGAGGTGAGGAGGAATCTTTACATATATAAACAAACAGTTAAAAAACATTATGTTTTCTGTACAGTTCTTGTTAAATGAGGTGAATAGGAATCTTTACATATATAAACAAACAGTTAAACAACATCATGTTTTCTGTACAGTTCTTGTTAAGTGAGGTGAGTAGGAATCTTTACATATATGAACAAACAGTTAAACAACATTATGTTGTTTATATATGTAAAGATTCTTACTCACCTCACTTAACAAGAACTGTACAGAAAAACAGTTAAACAACATTATGTTTTCTGTGCAGTTCTTGTTAAGTGAGATGAGTAGGAATCTTTACATATATAAACAAACAGTTAAACAACATTATGTATTCTGTACAGTTCTTGTTAAGTGAGGAGAGTAGGAATCTTTACGTATTTAAACAAACAGTTAAATAACATTATGTTTTCTGTACAGTTATTGTTAAGTGAGGTAAGTAGGAATCTTTACATATATAAACAAACAGTTAAACAACATTATGTTTTCTGTACAGTTATTGTTAAGTGAGGTGAGTAGGAATCTTTACATATATAAACAAACAGTTAAACAACAGTTCATGTTTTCTGTACAGTTTTTGTTAAGGGTGGTTAGCGGAAATCTTTACTTATATAAACACAGAGTTAAACAACATTATGTTTTCTGTACAGTTCTTGTTAAGTGAGGTGAGCCGACATCTTTACATATATAAACAAACAGTTAAATAACAGTTCATGTTTTCTGTACAGTTCTTGTTAAGTGAGATTAGTAGGAATCTTTACGTATTTAAACAAACAGTTCATGTTTTCTGTACAGTTCTTGTTAAGTGAGGTGAGTAGGAATCTTTACGTATAAAAACAAACAGTTAAATAACAGTTCATGTATTCTGTACAGTTCTTGTTAAGTGAGGTGAGTAGGAATTTTTACGTATATAAACAAACAGTTAAATAACAGTTCATGTTTTCTGTACAGTTCTTGTTAAGTGAGGTGAGCAGAAATCTTACTTATATAAACCCACAGTTAAACAACATTTCATGTTTTCTGTACAGTTTTTGTTAAGGGAGGTTAGCAGGAATCTTTACGTATATAAACAAACAGTTAAATAACATTTCATGTTTTCTCTACAGTTCTTGTTAAGGAACTTCTTGCTTCCATTTAGTTAACAAAATAATGGTATAATTTTTCATGCTTTAGTTTAATTATAATTCAATTATAAAGTATTATATTAAAGAAAAACGTTAATCATATACCCCAGTTTTCAAAATGTGTTTTTCTAAATGAATTTATGGCTTCTGAATACAACCATAAATAGCCCATTAATCTGGGTAAGCTATTCTGTAACACAACCATAAAGAGCCCAATAATCTGGGTAAGCTATTCTGTAACACAACCATAAAGAGCCCAATAATCTGGATAGGCTATTCTGTAACACAACCATAAAGAGCCCAATAATCTGGATAGGCTATTCTGTAACACAACCATAAAGAGCTCATTAATCTGGGTAGGCTATTCTGTAAAACAACCATAAAGAGCCCATTAATCTGGGTAGGCTATTCTGTAAAACAACCTTAAGGAGCACATTAATTTTAGGTAGGTTATTTTGAATACAACCATAAATAGCCCATTAATTTGTGTAGGCTCTTTTGAATACAACCATAAATAGCCCATTAATCTGGATAGGCTATTTTAAATACAACCATAAAGAGCTCATTAATCTAGGTAGGCTATTCTGTAACACATATTATATAATAGTTTTGAGTTAGTAGAGATAAAGCTATGACAGATGTTCAATAGCTTGCTCTTTATGCAGTAAGAAATAAACTCTCTCTTAACTCTGAGTCTGCCAAGGATCTTATAAATATTCAGTGGTGGATTTAAGGTTGTGTGGGCCCAGGGACTAATAATTTTTGTGGTTCCTACATCCCATGTAATTTTACATAGACTTGGATTGAACGGAAATGAATCACTCTTAGTGGGCCCCATTAAGACCATGGGCCCTGGGGCTGAGCCCCCTCTAGCCCATACCTAACTATGCCACTGTAAGTACTCTGTCATTTGGTATTTATAATGCATTACATAAACATTTTTCAGTTCTGTAGATGATTCAAGCATATAGAATATTGTTGCGTCAGCGAGGTCACTT